TACATATACACCAAGTATCAAAGCATTCAGGCTTGCAGTTTTCAAGAAGAAGTCGAAAAAGTAAAACATTGACACGGACGACGACGACGGACGACGACGACGGACAATCACTCATATGATAAGCTCCGCGCGACAGCGGAGCTAAAAAAGTGCACCATAATTTAGGTGAAAAAAGTCTGGTGGTGAAAAGGTTAATTCTTTACATCTGCAAAAACAGAGAAAAGTTTAACACAAATCATGATTTTGTACATATCATTTCATAATTAGTCCTCATCGACCTTTTGACTTTCAGAGACAGAAATTGAACTACAACTGGTGGGGATTTACGTCATCAATTTTTATATTTCACTGGTACAGATCATGTGCCAAATCTTAAACTCAGCTTTTGAAAGTTGTGCCAAGAGGATTATAAATATTTATCCACCATAATTTTCAATCATGTCCAGCGAAAAGCTTATAAAGAGTCATGTTCAGGCTACAGCAAGTAGAAGCTAAGATTTAAGCTATTCTTGTATATGTGTTTAACCCATACATACCGGGAGGGGATAACTATACTATACTATACTATATTAAAAGTCAAGATTGCAGAATAACAGGAGTCCCATCTTCAGTGAACCCCCCCCCCCCCCCCCCGAAGAATAATGTCTATAGATGTGCCCACGATGATTGTCATGTCCGAAATGGCATACTGAAATTAATAGTTCTGAAAATAATGGTAAATCTACCAAATGGACATTGAATACGATGGTGTTATATGCACAGGCATTCACGCACACTTTAGCCAGTAATTAGGATCTAGATCGGGACTTAAAAACAGGTTTAGCCCGTACTTACAGTTTCTTAGCCTGTGCCAAGTGTTCGCACATGTTTTCTTAGCACGGTTTAAAATTTGCATTAATTTTGCAATGGCTTATTAAAATGCATTTTTTTTACTGTGGATACAACTGTCATTTATATAAGCACATGTAATAGAGTAAATATGGTATGTTTGAAACATCAACAAATTTCAATTTGAAATCCAATACAGTAAAAAATAAATTACTATCATATGGTAAACACAGAACTTCATGAGTGGAAGTTTGCAGTTAACATACAAGTCGACTCATCAGTGTAGGGATGACGAACTCTCACAATACAAACAGAAAGAAAATTTATAAATCAGTGAAAATACAACTCTTACTTCAGTTTTCAGAGTGAAATGGATTAAATTCAGTTAAAATGTTGATAAATAAAGCCTGACATGAACAATGGGGACGAGTAAACAATTGTTTATTACATAATGGTACAACTAACGCATGACATTCTTTTGTATTTGACTCAGTAAGTTGTTTCTATTATTTATAATCAACCAATGGGATTTCTCTTGATGAGGGAAGGAAAGAAAATTCCTTGATTCCATCGTCTACTGACAACCTTTATTCTCTGTGGAGGCTTTTTAGCTGGAGATGTGCGAAAGACTTTTTACTATTCTCTAGCTTCATCAGAATCAACAATTACAAGTTTTTAAATTTCAAACTCAAGACAAGCAGCCTGTCGTCTGAGATAGCCCGCTGTTAGCAATTAAAGAACTGAAGATATCATTAGAAGATGAACAATATGTATACTATTAAAGCAATCGAACTTGCTGTTTTCAACAAGAAGTCGAAAATATCACTTTTCACCAAAAATATTCACCAAAATTATAGAATTGAAGATATCATCATGAAATGAACAAATCTAAGAGAGGTCTACCCAGGCTTGTAGTTTTCAAGAAGAAGTCGAAAAAGTAAAAAGTTGACATAGATGACGGACGGCGACGGACAATCACTCATATGATAAGCTTTGCTCAACTAAGTCGACAGTGAAGCTAAAATGAAAATAAGGTGCACCATGCATCAAGCCAACCCCTCCCCCCTCTTACTTCACCTTCTATACTTGGATTTCAGGTATGTGGTCAATACCTTTCATTTCCCAGCATGCATTGTAATGGTCAGACCCTGGGCATTGACCCAAGTCAAGAATCAATCAATGGACAGCCTTGGAAGTTCATGTCTTTTAAATTCCAAAAAACCTTGAACAGCAAATACTGTGAACTATTATATTTTTGCAGCTATCAATTTTTCGCGATATGATATTTTGCAGATTATGCAAAAATTTGCGATAGTCACCGATTTTCTAAAATTTTCACTGCTACAAAATTATTCACGACGTCCATACTTGCAAAATTTGCTAATCTCAAGAAAATAAAGTGATTAACAGCAGTATAACAACATAATGAGTTAATATGTTAAAGCCACAGAATTGTCCCAATGCATTTTTTTTGTTTTTGCTTTTTCAAAAGCAGATACGATTTGATTTTGATTGTAGCGACAGTGTACTTGATCATACCAGCAGCATATTCAAATGCCGCTTCAGAAATCCCAGTATGAATTATCTCGTTATTTCATGATTTGGTTGATTTTTTTTTATCATTTTTACAAATGTGGTTTTATACCCTCACACAATAATCGATAACATTCATGTACTAGTATTCACAAAATGTGATTAATTGTCAAGGAGGCAGTTTTAAAGAAAAGAGCTTTTGTATGGAAAAACAATTAGACATCAACCCCAAAAAAATCACTCTAATATCTACACTGAGTGCATGTGACATGTTTTGTATTTAAAAACATCAATGTACTATAAAATACTTTATTTTCGCTTGGAATTAATTTTCGCTAAAGGAATGATTCAGCGAAAATAAAATCCAGCGAATATACCTTTTTCCCTATATTTTACATTTAAATCAGTGAAAATAAATTCCATACAAAACACCCAAAAAGTCTTTTCAGCGAAAATTAAATCTAGCTAAAATAAAGTATCTTACAGTAATTAGTTTTTACTTGAGTGAAGACTAATGAAATTCCCAATAAAAAACAATTTTTCCCCTTCCCTGCCCAATTAGTAATACAACGTGTCATTTAGCCTCAATGCTTGAAACATATTCAGAAAAATTGGTGAAACAACATTTGCGACGACAAAAACCATGAAATTAAACACATTTTTTATTAGTTAGTGTGTCACTAGGTTTCTCATCTCCTGTCCTTTTGACATTCTGTGGTTAACCAGCCATCCAATAACAAATCTCACAACATATGGGAACATTGCCAAGATTGGGAATTCCCAGTAAGCTAGACAGTCAGTAAGTATAATTTTTAACAGCTTGAAGGGTAGGATTTTTCTCAATCAAGGCTGGTCAACAGTGAAGTTTAAAGGGATTGAAAAATTGATCAAAAGGTTGGCATTGAAAAGTGTCATCAATATCAGTAAGAAAGTCACATTATAATGCATTTTTTCACCAAAATTCAGATTTTTATTACAGTAGCTTGTTTTTCCTTCACACGAGTGCTCCTACAAACTTTTTCGCATTAGTTTATCCTCAAACACCAGTGTTCAGAGGAAAATTGCAGTATATTTAGTTTATTTGGCAATAAAAAAAAAGTTTTTGCAATATCATCAATGTTTTGTAGCAAAGAGGTAAATGATATTTTAGATCATTTCTCCATTTTTTTTTTTTTTACCACAAATACAGATGAAACCTAATACAGTAAAGGCAGTATGGAGTACCAAGTTAATTGGTCTCTCACCATTCTGAATTTTTATAAATGCCAAAATTGAACCCCAACCATGTATGTGTATAGGAATGCAGACCAAGGGACAATTACTGATGCTAATATAGTCAGTAACTGACTGACAGTGTCCTTGAGCATCACCATCTTCAATGGCCTCCTAATTAAAGAGGCCTGGGTTTTTTATTGATCCCACTGTGACCAAGCTTAAACACATCATTACAAGGACTGGGAGGAAAAATACAATAGGTATTTTAAGAGACCCTCCTTTAAAATATTATTTGAACCCTAGATAAGGAGGAATGACCAGTCAAACAACCCTGAGAAATTCAAACAATAGTGGATAAGTCAATGACTTGTCTTGTCTTGACACGGACTCGAGCTAGAACAAATACAATGTGATAAACAAAATACAAAATATATTGTACCAACCTTCCAGGAGCATCCCTTTCTGTAGACACTTCTGAAACCGACAGAACTGGCATCGGTTTCGCTGTGCTTTGGTGATCTCACAGTTTCCTTCTCCAACACAGGAGTAGACTCGCTTGTTCTGCACTGTTCTTTTGAAAAAACCTTTGCAACCTTCACACGTGATGATGCCATAGTGCAGTCCAGTGGCCTTATCTTGGCAAATACTGCAATACATTAACGAATCATCTTCCTCAGAGTTGCTGCTTTCTTCACTTTGCCCCTGGCTATCCAGTCCTGATAAACTTCCCTCTGAGTGCTTTGCTTTCCGTCCATGAGAGGGTCCAGTTAAAAAATGTTGGCCAGGTGGTGCACAGTGTGGTGGGAACGGGAAATGTGTGTTCATACCAGATGAGAAAGGGGTGTTGGGTGTGTAAGCATAACTTGAACCACTCATCGGTGATGAAATTAGACCAGACCCACTGGGGCTTAGTAGACTGCCTATGGGTGACGACCTGCTTCCTGGGGGTGAGGCGTTGTTATGATAATAACGAATCGAGTCACCAGTGAGTGGTGGATTCATCAGAACTCTTTGATGTATTGTACTCGGCTCTGTCTTAATATTGTAACTCTCCGTCAATCTCTGGTGTAACTGCGGTGAAGTCTGCGGAGATGCTACTAAAAGTACTGGGGGTGGTGGGATGGCCGTGTGTGATGCTGGTGTTTTGGGTGGTGTGGGCAAATCAGCTGCAAATTCACTCCTATAGGGACTTCTACTCTCTTCTTTATTAATCTCAACAGCAAGTTCAGATGCCTGGTAAAGCCCACTCCATCTTTTAGTCGGGGGCAACCTCTTCATCATAAGTTGGTGGCAATTGTCTGTTGTTGCTGGGAGAATATTTGATCTCTTCGCTTCGATTTCATTTCTATAGCCCATAGGTATTTCTTCCGTCATACTGTTGGAACGCTTCATGTTTCTGCGAAATAAACAAAAAAAAAAAAAAATTATATAAAATGAGTAAATATTAATATTTACACTGTATAACTGTAATACAGCAAACCAAAGTGCCACATGAAACAGCATTCAGTTTTGTTGTTCTTTTACTCAATTCACACATGCATGCTATGAAATACATGGCCACTTTTTTTTCACATGTATGTACGTACACTACAAACTTGAAATACAAATGATAATTTATAATGTGTTCAATGATGATCAATGATTGAAAATACCGACATATCGAAGCAATATCCGCTCTTAATATCATGTGAAGGTCCCTTCATGAATTAGTATAGTAGTATTTGAATGCAACAACGTGATAGTGGGGTACAACTATTTTTTCAGTATCATGTGAGGAGCGCCTATCATGTTATTCGAATGAATAAAAAAACTTTCTTCTTGAAAAAAAAATGTAGGTAGCACATGTAAACGTAAACAAACAACCGATGTTCATACCGAAAAAAAACTACCAGCAGCCTAAACGTGTTCATAATTTGTATTTGAAAAAGAAGAAATTAAAATAAAAATTAGGTGCCCCGGTATTACATTTAGAAAGCGAAAACTGTAAAAATTAGTATCTGTTTGACATCGCAGAATCTGATTCTCGGCCTGAAAACACGAATCCTAACTGAACTGTCAAATTAACTCCGAGTAGACTCCTGAATACCGTGTTCTGATCGCAGATTCTGTCTCCTAATTTGTATAAACTACGCAGAGAAGGCTGCGCCAATCTATTGTACCAGCCCCGATATTATTCGAATGAAACTTAATTATTGAAAGTCGAATGGTGCTCGTGACCTTCATTTAACTTCATGAAAAGGTGAAACACAGGACAACAGTGAGAGCGCTAAGGGATGCAACGACGTACTCCGCGGCGTGTTATGACTCACCAGTCTGTCTGGCTCTCCAACACAGTCTTCAGCGAATTGTCCTGTGTAATATTGATATGTTCGATTGGCTCACTTAGCTGGAGTGGACACTGTCGGTCGGTTTACACAATGTCGTTACGAGAATATTAACAAGCAAACCGGACGAGTTGTCTAAAAATAATACACACACAGACCGGTAGAACGGGAATATAATTAATAGATGGGAGCAATGAACGCTGGATGACCTTTCGATGAAATGACGCACAACTACAAAAGTAAACACAATTCAGCTCGCTGTTTTTAAAGTAGTTCCACGCTAAAAGAAGAATTATATCGGATAAAAATGTAATAAGATATACATTTGGTTTGGAACTTTTAATGTGATTATTAATACATATAATTGTGGGCAATTTTAATTAAATACGTGCGTTTTTCTCGAAGTTTATGTTTTAATGTGAAGGTTAAGCGTAGATAATAAAGTTCTCGGTGACAGGGCTGTCCGCCGGGTTATACCATATCTACCTGTCTGTGGGGGCAAGAGCGTATGTTCAGAGGGACGCTAGTGTAATAAATGTTACCTACGTCATACGTCATGCACTTGATGGATTGCGTAGTCTGATTTAAATTGTGCGATGAGTGAATACGTCACGAGAATTTTAATAGAGCCGGCCATGAAAAGCGATAAAAGTGACTCCCACAAAATCGATATTTTGTTAATTTATGTTTACGCAACGCAACTTATTTTAATGACAGGTCTTTAATTTCGCGGACAAAAGTCCGTATAAATCATGTCGCACAAAACTACACCGTACCTTACTCAGGCAGGATTTTTTGTTAACGGCGCAGAAAAAAATAAAGGTTTATTGCTATTGACGTTGGTCGTTGTCCCGCAACCATACAAAAGCATGGGCGGGACAGCAACATGTACAATTGAGATAGTTCGAGTCAATTTTCTCAAGTTTTATAACCCTTTACTTATAACTGCCTTCCTGGATTTCTTTTCACAGACGTACTGATTCCGCCCCTAGGAGGTTATATTGAAATGTAGGGTTATTGGAATTCAGTCGTTGTGCTTTTAATTTTCACCGTTTTAAAATTAATCGCCCATGACACGTAAGTGTCCTTGAATCTGAAGGTCAGTGTGAGGGAGATCGCTGTCACGGTGATCATGAATGCGCACGCACATTGAGGGCATAGAAAGGTGAGTCAATAAAGTAGGCCGCCGTCCACAGGATTTGTTTTGAAAGACTTCTCCGTTGCGCTGTTTAAGAATTCGGAAACAGAGCATACTAATAGCATATAGAGTCGCGATTTATGGTGCGGTGATTTTTCATGACCGGCGTGTTCAGTGTGTCTCCAAATTGTGGGACCATGGAATAAACGTTCCCATTCATATAAATCAACCCTAATGAAACCTTTTTTTTTTTGTCATCTTCGCCAAAACTGAAAGTGTGGAAATCCGATGTGACTGGATTTGTTCCCTTCATAGAAGTTTCGAGTTGTGTTTTCGCAAATTTTCCAGTACTGACTCCCGCCCAGCCCCAGAAGTATTATGTTCCAACCCCTCACAGTCCCTCTATCGTGATAGAGGGACTGTGAACCAGGTTCTTTTTTTAGTAACCGTGTTCCAACGTAGATCCTATTCTAGGATTTTTTTTTTTTGCAGGGTGTAGGTTTTCTAAAAACAACTTATATGTCTATATAATATATCAACGATCTAAAGTGGGCTGGGATATATTGCATTTACCACGTACGGCACAATACCAAGGCATTGGCAAAAAAATCACGCTACGCAAGTACGGAGAAGAGTTGGAAGGAAACCTGGGGGGCGAAACCGCCAACATTTAATAGCGTCGGATGCCGTGGCATGTTTCCAGAGATAAAAAAAACACTAGGAAATAAACTCCTTTTCAATAAATTGCAAGACAATATAAGTGATCGTGGTGAATTTTGCTGTTTAAAAAAAATCATCTCGGGACACTTTATTCAAGAGTAGGAAATATGAAACGAACCAATCACCAACATTTCAACTATACAGTTGTTTACTATCTGTATTTTGGTCGGAGAACTGGGGGCATGCTTAAATGTACATTTATATGAACGTATAATTTGAAGAACTGGCCGAGTCTTTATATTTTGTAACGAAACCAAAATGAAGATGAATTTCAATCATGATATACCCCGAGCACTGTACTACGTACCATCACAAGTACCATCAGAAACACTAAATATGTGACCATTTTCCGTTTACTGTGAGAATCACGCGTTATGCGTGAAATCGAACGTAAAAACAGGACAAACAGGTCATAACGTCGCAGTGGCGTCAAACATCGCGTCGACGGTTGGCCGGTCGATGTGAGCAACGAAGCAAAGAAATTCGAGTTAAAAATCAAATCGTTCGATTTTTGCGGTAGTCTGGTTCCCTGCCCAAGTTTTCACCGCTGAGGGCTCAAAGAAAAACAAGGTCAGGTACGGGCCGACATCTTGGTCAGATTTCTGGCCAAAATGGATGACAGTCACATGATGGTCACATGGTTACTTCGCAACAAACAAAATGGCTGCCTCCACTGTGACATGTACGCCGGTCAAGATAAGTAATTCATCTCAAGCGTGTTTTGTTTGTAGTACAGTGGGGACACGAACAAAAAAAATCCACGAAGGTACCGGGAAACATAACTTGAAGTTGTTGTTGTCGAAATATGGCGAAGTAGAGGTGATTGAGGGTTTGATTTGTAGGAATTGTGAACGCCATTT